GGTGTTCTCCACTAGAGAATATAGTACTGCTCACTACTCTTGACATTATAGTAAGCATGAAGTCACAAACAATGGGATGTCCTTCCTTTGTAAAGCTTTTCAGCCTTTCTTTTTATGGCTAAATAATATTCCTTAATATTCTTTATCCATCCACCCATTAGTGAGCACTTAGGTTGCACTTAGGTTGTGAATCTTACTGTCTCCCTCACAGCCCCTTCTTTTCTACCTCCCCTAGAAAGGCCTTTATTACATTCTAAAAATGTCTGGGGAAAATAATGATTCAGAAGCAATCTCCTCTCTTCCCATGATCTTCAGGAAACTCCATGATGGAAAGCTTTGGTTTTTGACCTTCTTAAAGTGGTACGATTTCAGTAGGGATTCTCCAGTCACACAGTTCCAGATTGCTTCCAGGCTGAAGAGAAGAGCTTTGGGCTGCTGCTGCAGTTGTTACTGCTGCGACTTTGTTGCTGTGGTTGAATCTGTATCACATGTGGATTGCACAAAAGCAATGAATTTAACTTGAGTTCTGAACTTTGAAAGCTCTGTTTGTCCTTTAGGGTATTGTTTAGTGGCCTCACAAGTGTCTTGCTCAAATTAAAAGATTAAGATTTTAAGTTCAACCCTTTTGAACAGATGGGTATTCACACAGGAATTTTCAACCAGGGGCTGGCGCTGTGGCGCAGCGGGTTAACGCCCTGGCCTGAAGTTCCAGCATCCCATATGGGCGCTGGTTCAAAACCCGGCTGCTCCACTTCTGATCCAGCTCTCTGCGATGGCCTGGGATAGCAGTAGAAAATGGCCCAAGTCCGTGGGCCCTTGCACCTCCATGGGAGACCAGGAAGAAGCTCCTGGCTCCTGGCTTCGGATCGGCGAAGCTCCGGCTGTTGTGGTCAATTGGGGAGTAAACCATCAGATGGAAGATCTCTGTCTCTCTCTCTGCCTCTCCTCTCTCTATGTAACTCTGACTTTTGAATAAATAAATAAATCTCTTTTTTTTTTTTCCGGTTTTCAAGGTTTTATTTAAACACAAATAAAATGCGCACCCGAGCCGCCTACTCATTTTCTTCACTGCGCAGCCTGGCGTTGGGGTTGGTGACCCTGATGGCCAGCTGGGCCGCTCTCTCCACAATGGCTTTGCGGTTCTTGGAGGAGACGTTGTGAGCAATCTCTGCACAGTAGGATTTGTTGCACATCAGCAGCACCTCCAGCTCCTTGACGTTGTGGACCAGGAACTTCCGGAAGCCGCTGGGCAGCATGTGCTTGGTCTTCTTGTTGCTCCCGTAGCCAATGTTGGGCATCAAGATCTGGCCCTTGAATCTTCTCCGCACCCTGTTGTCAATGCCTCTGGGTTTCCGCCAGTTACGCTTAATCTTGACATAGCGGTCCGACTGGTGGCGGATGAACTTCTTGGTCCTCTTTTTGACGATCTTGGGCTTCACCAGCGGTCTGAGGGCGGCCATGGTGCCGAGGAGAAGGCAGCCACCTCCGGAGGCAGCGCCGAGGAAGAGAAGGGAGGGGGGTGCGCAAAGGCTGATGGGATGTAACCTCTCTAAATCTCTTTTTAAAAAAAAGAATTTTCATCTAGATTCCTTATTTGTTTTTATTTCTAGGTCAAACAGTATAGGAACGTGATTTAAACAAATGGGAATAAACATTACAGTTACCTTCTGTTAGAGTGTTGTAAAAAAAAGGTTTTTCCAAACAAGACTGTTTCAGAACTGACCAACTGACTTTGATTTCCAGATATGTAAGTTATTAAATAAAACAGTAAAATCAAGGGCTGAATAGTTAAGTGGCTATTGTAAAATCTGCATTTTCCTCTCCAACTTTCTGTAGATCCTGTTGTGTTTTTTGCTAAAACTCAGAGAAGTTCCAAGGATAGTGCGATGAAATGTAATCCATCTGTGCACATACAGGTCTGACCTTCCTTCGCCTCACTCGGGAAATCAGGACTCCGTTCAAAGTAGACTCGTCTTCTGGAAGATCCCTAGAAGAAGAACCCTAACTTACTGCTGACCCCTTCCAGCAAACTTCTAGCAGGGAACCAATTATCTTTGCTCCTGATTTCAGAACCCAGAGGAATGACTCTCCAACTCGGTCCGGATTTTCTACAGGCTGCTTCTTGAGGCTGACTGGCGATTTTGCCCGAATGAATTAATAATGAATACTTCCATGAATTTAACATTAGCAGAATGCCAACTAGTGTGCCTGGCCTGGTGTTAATTGCCAGGGGGAGAAGGGAGGGAGATAATTTTTTCCTTTTTCCTTTTTTTTTTTTAAACCTTTGCCCCCAACCCCCACCACACCCCACCCCACCCCACCCCACCCCTCACCCCCCCCCCCCCCCCGAGGAAGGGTGGCTCACATTCTCCTAAAATCACAAAGACAGTCTAGGGATAAGCTATCTTTGTCTCTCTCTTCTGGAGAGAGCGATAAAGCAAGGTTTTAAGTTCCTGTAGGCTACCTTGACGCCCTCTGGGTGTAGACCCCAGTTAGCATCCCGGGGCACCAACATGTGGTTCGCAGTCACCCAAGACTTTATCTTAAGGAAGTAGGGTGAGTTGTGAGGGTTCCAAACGTGGTTTCTCACCCACTTTGTGCTCACCACTGTGAGAATGAAAGCTGAATTCTCTCCGTGGAGGAAAATGCACACCATGGACACATAAAACGAAACCTCTGGTCCCGAAAGAGAACGTCGCTTCCGCACAAGCATTTGCTAATACACTTCTACGACAGCTCCTTGTGGCAATGGCCCTAGCACGTCGCGCCGCGTAGTGGCCGCACCGCGGCTTTCCCCGACTGGTCGAGCGGTCCAGAGCCCAGGTATGAAACCTAAACCACGGAAAAGCCAGGAAACCTGGGACTGGATCTTAGCTGCAGTTATCTGCTTCCCCACTCCAGGGCACACTGTGCGCGGTGATCCGCCATCCTGAGCCCTGACGCGCGGGCTGCTCGCGTTTCCAGGTTTTGCGTCTGATGCGTTCCTGGGTTCACCGGAGCCGGTTCTTCCAGTCTTAGGTCCCCTAGAGGGAGCGGGAGTCTCAGACCCCCAGCCCCGAGTTTGTATTCCCTTGAGGGGAGTGCAGCAACAGGAATTAAAGAGGAGAATGGAAAAAGGGCATCTTGGAAGTTAGACGTCCTGTTGCTTCCTCGTACCCCGAGGTCAACAATCCCGGAGAGAGGTGGTTCCAGGCAGGTGTGTCCTAGGATCTGCCTCCGTTTCTGGGGACTAAGGACCGGGGTGTGGACGGGACCGTGGAGGGAGCTGAAGCTCAGTGACTCCAGCCTCCTAAGCACCCCTGGGGGATAATTTCTACTCTGCCTCCTGCACAGCCCCCAGATTGCCTCTGCGGCATTCACCGCAGGAGCTGCCGCCCAGCGCGCGCTGAAAACGCTCAAACCGGGAAAATCCCCTTCCTTCTCCAAGTTTCTTTCGCCCCAAGCCAGCCGCTCAAGGGTCTTGGTCGGGACCTGGGTCCTTCTGGGCGCGCCTGAAACTGACCGCTTGGGCCAGTAGTCTCGAAATCCCCTGCGCTGGGTATGAGGGGGCTGGAGCTCATGCGTAATGGGGTGTGATGGGACGGAAGTACTTCTGAGTGTGTTCAGGCATGTCGGAAACAAGCTTCATGGTCCACGTGTGGGCTTGCGACGGAACGAGAACTCTCTCAGAGGCAGGCTTGGGACACAAGTGAGAGTGAGCCCCTGCGCGCAGTCTGTTTTGTGCCTGCTTCTTGTAGTGTGGGCACGCGTTTGGAGACGGTAACGAATATGTGTGTGTGGAAGGGTGTGACTGGGAGTGAGAGTGAACTCTAGTTACGGCAGAGACTCCATGGCACTGGCAAGCCTACTTGCTCTTCGTGGGGGATCAAGGGCCGGGTAAGGACACGGGCAGGAATCCAGTGCCACTGGGACATCTTGGCAAACAGCAGCCGGAAGCTCAGGGGCAGCTGTGCAAATGGCTCGGGCAGGCGGGGCTGAATGGAAAGTGATGGATGGCGGGATCTGAAGAGGGAGGGCTAGAGGCTAGAGGCTTGGGAAGCATCTGCCCCTCTCACCTCTCCCTTGGGTAGCTGGGCACAGTTCCCCTCCTCACAGCACCCGGATCTGCTCAACTGATATGGGAAGTCCCCCCAAGAAGAGGATTGGAAAGCATCCATGGAGAGCTTACCTAGTCCCCTGTGTGGACCAGGAAACTGCTAGATGCCTGCCTCTCTGGGCATTTCTCACAACCTTCCTTCTAGACGGTCTCCATTTCGTTTTGTTGTTAAAATTTATTTATTTGAAAATTTATTTATTTGAAGATAGGGAGGGAGGAGAAAGAGAGAGAGCGCGCGCGAGAGAAAATGAATGAATGAATCCCCCATCCATTGGTTCACTCCCCAAATGGCTGCAGAAGCCAGGAGCCCGGGTCTCCCACAAGTGTGGCAGGGACACAAGCATCCCAGTCATCTCCTGTTGCTTTCCCAGACACATTAGCAAGGAACCCTGATGGGAAGTGGAGCAGCTGGGTGCAGTGTTGCAGGCAGATTTGAAAGATGAGTGCATTGAGGTTCTGTGAAGTTACTTGCCAGTAATAATAAGGGCTGGTATTGAGTTCAGGTCTAAAAACAGTTCTTGCTCGCAGCTCCATCTCCTGATTCTCACAAGCCCCACACAATGCCACTCCTCACCTGGGGGAGCCATCAGTCCCTTCAGTCCTGGACCCTGCCCCTCCAAGACGGCACAGCTGGGGGTGGAGTGGATTGGGTGTTCCAAAGTAATAGGGATGGAAGAGGTGACATCTTCGGCGACGTCGGTGACGTCAAACTGCCCTCAAATTCCCGCTCACTTTAAGGGCGTTTCTATTTGGTCCCCACCACCACACCACACCCCCCATCCATTAATGACCTCAATGCAAATACAAGTGGGGCCGTCCTGTGGGTGCTCCGGGTTCTGGAAGGATAGGGGTGACGCAATCTGGCTGGGGCAAGAGGCCCCTCCACCCATTGGTTGCCCGGCGCTCGAGGACCCCTCCCGACCCATGGCGGCGGGAATAAAAGCGGCGGCTGACGCTGGAGGCATCGGAGCCACTGCCCAGCCCAAGTGCCGCGGCCGCTTCCGCAGAGCCTTCTCCACTGCCGCCTCAGCTCCCTGCCACCGCCAGCCAGGTGAGCCCCGGGAGCGCTGCTCAGGTGCGCCTCTCTCTCTCTCTCTCTCTCTCTCTCTCTCTCTCTCTGGCTATCTCTTTCGGACTCTCCCTCTCTCTTTCCGTTATCTCTATCTCCTACTTTACTCCCTGTCAGCTTGGGTCTGCCCATGCAGAGCGGGTCTGTCCACCCTGACTCCACTTCAGGAAATCTCTGGGCGGGCTCCTGTCCCATGTAGGATTGGGCAGTTCCCGCCCGGGCTCCTTGCAGTTCTATGCACGCGGCAGATGCACTCTCATTCCCTTCCCTATACCACTGGGGAGCAAGTCACAGAAGTAGCTTTCCGCCGACAGTGCTTTGGGGATAGCACCTGGAACCTAGCCTTCCTCGAGAAATTGATTCAGAACCTGAACCAGCGCGGTTGGGTTGCAAACGGTCGCAACGACTGAGCAGCCAGCAGCCCTAAACTGTGAGCTCCAGGCGCGCGGTCTAGGAATACAGAGACAAGTGTTGGATTCCAACTTAAGATTGTTAACCTTAGTTCTTGCAGGGGACAGCGTTGCCAGGGGGTGGAGCAGCTGAGCCCTAGAAGTAGTTAGCCAGTTAGCGATTCCAACCGCAACTCCCTCTCTGCAGATCCTCCTCTGTACATCTCAGGTGTGCATAAAAATCTCAGGCAGCAAGGACAGCTTTGGGTTTAGTCACGGGAGCAGGTGTTGTGACATGAGACTCCAAGACCTGACATGACCAACAGGTGTGTGGGTGTGTGTGTGTGTATGTGTGTGTGTATATAGAGTGCTGGAGGAGGGCGATTAGGACCTCCCCTCCCAACCAACCTCATAAGATGGCCCCTCCAGCTTTGCCAAGCCATGCATGCTATGGACCCACTGAACCTTCCAGGAGTCCACTTTGCTGATGAGGAAATAAGAAAAATGTAGTCTGAAGCCAGGATTCTAGGAAGTTAGCAGACGGGCGAAACTTAGACAGGAATTCAAATCTGCAGGCTCAGAGAACATTCAAGTGGTGCAGGCACTGATATCATTCTTTCCCCCATAGCCAGAAGTCATGGGCTTCCTCAAGTTCTCCCCTTTCCTGGCTCTTAGCATCTTGGTCCTGTACCAGGCAGACAGCCTCCACGCAGTGCCATTCAGGTAAGATAACCTGAATCCAGGTGCATGCGCCCCTCCCACTGCCCAAGGAATGGGACAATTCCATGCATCTTAAATGTGGTGGGCTGAGTGTTTAAAACCAGAGTCTTGGGATGGAGGCACTGGGAGGGGTAGGTGTATATGTATATATGCATGTTTATTATAAACTTTTCTGATATAAAGATGTGTAGCACACAGTTTACAAAGAGCAATAACATGTACAATGCTCCTCACTGTAAACTTTAGATAGCCATTGGCTCTCACAAAATGCCTTCATTGCTTTTCACCAAGCTTATTATCTACAGCTGACCTATTTATCAGCTTAGCCATGATCTGAGAAATGGATTGCATCCTAATCAGCTAGTAAGTTTGCCAATAAATTTGTTCTCAAATCTGATGTGTGACCTATTGATTTGTTTTCATCCATGTACAAATTATATTAAATAACAAAACTTTTTGAGATTCAGGCTTTTCACAAGCCTGTGAAAACTGGCTCCAGCACACCTCTGCTGGGAGATCAGACCATTGCCAGTTCCCAGTTGGGACTCTGGCCTCATGCCCTATCTACTGGGAGTTGGGTAGTCACATTCTCAAAGGAAAAAACAGAGAACAAAAATTCTGGTTTCTTAATCATGGGGAGAGCATAGACAGGAGCTCAGAGCCTGCATGGGGTCTGCTTCCCTTCCAACAGATCTGTCTTGGAGAGCAGCCCAGACCTGGCCACACTCAGTGAGGAGGAAGCGCGCCTCCTGCTGGCTGCACTGGTGCAGGACTATGTGCAGATGAAGGCCAGTGAGCTGGAACAGCAGCAGGAGACAGAAGGCTCCAGGTAAGGCTCCCCACCCTGCCCAGGACATGGTCTCCCAACCCCACTGGCATTCCCAGGAAGGTGCATCCCAACAGGTAGGAGAGTACACACTAGCCAAGAGTCCAGCAGGCTTTCATTTCCCACAAGGACCTGGGGCCCAGCCACTTCTAGGCTCTTTTGAAGACAGAAGTCAGCTGAACAGACCTTGGTTAAATCACCTCTTATAAAGTTCCATTTCCGAACACGGTTGTAGAAGGTGTGGGGTCACTCCTGTGGAAATCGGTCTTGCAGTACTGGGGAGACTTCCCAGGTTTGGATGAAAAAGACTGGTAAGGGGCAAGCTAGGGGATGGGCCTGGTACAGCATGGGAGATTTTAGAAATTGAGTCCACCTTGCTAATCCGCATATGACATACGATGTTCTTTCATACTGCAAGGTGCCTTCATTGCACATTTACAAGGTGAAGGTGAAGCTCTTGCAGGGAGTGGGTCAGGTAGAGCAGAGTCTGAGGTAGGTCTGGAGCCTCTAGATGTGGAGCATGTATGGAGATGTGCGTGATGCTATAGGCCCAAGAAGAGCACCTTTCCCCAGCACCACCTCCCTGTAGCCCCACCCTCCACCCCGAGCAGGAGCAGGGAACTGCCCCTGGCCTGGCTCCAGCATTGCCCAGGCAGAGACACATGCTGCACCTGCATCCACCCCCAGAACCTCTCTGCAGAGCATGAAGGACTGACTAGCATGTGGAATGCCAGAAAGGCTAATCCTCCCTTTCCCCGACCTGGGCCCACTGCACCGCTCAGCTCTCCTAGTGGAGGATAAGTGAGCTGCCCTCCTGACTGCCCTTCCTGCCCCCCACTTGGAGGACCCCTGCTATGTGACTGCCCATGGGGGCAGACCCTGGATGGTACTCTCTGGCATGTCTTTTCTCTGCAGCCTGGCCAGCTCCAGATCTAAGCGATGTGGTAATCTGAGTACCTGCATGCTGGGCACATACACCCAGGATCTCAACAAGTTTCACACGTTCCCCCAAACTGCGATTGGGGTCGGAGCACCTGGCAAGAAAAGAGATATGGCCAACAACTTGGATGTGGACCACCGCCCTCAATTTGGCATGCCTCAAAACATCAACTAAATTCTCCTCTCTAATTTCCCTTTTTGCTACCTTTCTATAAATTGATGCATGTGGTTCCTCTCTGCTTGCCCTTGGGCTCATACTAGTGGCTCTCCTTGTGACAGAGGATATCTGGAACTTTCAGATGGGTTGAAAGAAAGGAGGGCTCAAGTACTAGAAGAGAAGCACTCCTGGAAAGGTCAAGAGGGCAAGGGTAGCCTCTGAGGCCCCCAAGGATTTCACAACATAGCTTCTCATTCCTGCTTCTAAATGTGATGGTCTTTTGGGAAATAAAACTATTTTTCTAAAAAGACTTGAGCTGTGGTAGTCATTGTTCTGGCCCACATCCCAGGCATTGCAGTATGTAGACTTGTGTTTAGAAGTAGCGTTAGCCCCAGGGCAGCTGGACACAAGGTGTGGTGAATGGTCCCTTTGGCGGAGCTCAAGCCACAAGAGCAGGGGTGCTGAGATGCAGGTAAGCACCTGGGAGACTGGATGCTGTCAACTCCATCCCTGTTCCAGGTAAGACTGGGAAATCCTCAACTTCCTCAGTAGGAGCGTTTGGTGCTATCACTGGGGTATAGATTCTACAGTCGTTGTGAATGGGGTGGGTGTGGTGCCACAGTTCATTCTAGTCTCATAAGGGTTTGCTGCTTTTTAGTAAATACAGGGGAGGTTGCCTGTTACAGTCCTGTATTCCATGGCCAACCACCCAGAGTGATCTCTGGGTTTTCTGATACCCCTTGGGAATGTTTATGGGGAGTGATCAGGCCATTTTCCTTAATGGCCATGTGATTTTCTGCTCTGATAATTGTGTTTAGGAGAACACTTACAGTTAAGTGGTGCTTCTCAGAGCAGCAAAGTTACCATGATGTTCCCATGGGGCAAGTTCCCCATCCACCCTCCAGACTTGTACTGACAGGCCTTCTCTTCTTTCTCTATCCTGCAAATCAGCATCACTGCCCAGAAGAGAAGCTGCAACACTGCCACCTGTGTGACTCATCGGCTGGCAGACTTGCTGAGCAGGTCAGGGGGTGTGGTGAAGAGTGACTTCGTGTCCACCAATGTTGGCTCTGAAACCTTCGGCCGGCGCCGCAGGGAGCTCCAGGCCTGATCAACTGGTTGACCCCACGAAGGTGACTGCCCTTGTTCTATGAGGTGGGAGGATAGATGCCCAGGAATTCTAGGAGTGTGGTTTGCTCCTTGAGCCTCCCTGGACCATATGGCTGAAAAAAAGAGTCTACAGAGGAAAGAACACACTCCAGTATCTGGAGAAGGGACACTGGATCCCAATAACAGAAACCCTAGAATTTGGGTTTCTCTGTTTTTCCAGTCTCTCCTGTGAAACCAAGACCATCAGGACAGGAAATGCACATCCTGTTTATTTAAAACATGATTTCTTGACATTATTCTGGCATTTGAGTTTGAAAGGTAATGACACCATCCTTTGAAGTATATACCACAATGTCATGTATCTCTAAGTTAAGAGCACAGACTAGAGTTCAAGAACTGTGTTTGCCCTCTGCTAGCTATAAGACCATGAGCCAACCATTTAATTCTCTCTGAGCCTCCATCTATAAACTGAGGGCTTCAATAGTATGTACTTCTTTGAATTAATATTAGACTAAATAAGATAAAAGATGTAAAGAGCCTGACAGTTAACATACATAAACTTTAGCTGTTGTTATTTTTTCCTTCTAGGTCACAAAGAAGCTGAACTCTACTTCTATGTATAACAAAAGCAATTTGTAGGAAAGGCTCCATGGAAGACATCCATATTTATTTGCATCTTTCTTGATATTGAAAACTATCATCTTTGTTTGAAAAGAACTAAAGCTAAATGCAGAGTAAGCACCTTATAGTTCCCTCTCATGCATCTTTTTCGTATTTAATTCTGTACCCAATAAATATGACAGCATGTCTCATTAGCATACCTGATAGCAAATCTGGGCCCTGTCATCTCTCCTGTTGATACTGGCAGCTGTGCTAAAACCTCAGAAATCACTGCCTCTTGGGTGTCTGGGGACCTGGTAATGGTATGTCTTGATGGAACTATTTGTTTAAACAAATGTCAGTGTTGTCATTTGTGAACTTCATCATAATTAAAAATATATTTTCGATACCCTTAAATGAAATCTCTGCTGTTATTTATGATGTTTTCTCACCAGGGACCTATGAGTACTTTGATCAGGCTGACTCATGTTAAGTAAAGTCAATCTTTTCTGTGATGGATTCTCACTGTCTTACACTCTCCGTCTCTTGTAAAACCTCCCTTATTGGAATTAGAGCCTTGTGTGTGTCAAAGAGGACAACTGGCATTTTTACTTTTGGAGAGTGCCCTGGCCCCCAGCCCCAGAAGTTACTCATGCACTTCTCCTCCACTTGGGTTTACCCTTACTCATCCCTGCTTCCCTTTCCATAAGAGCCCCTTTGTCCCCCTCCTCTTAGCTGGCAAAATTCTTTAGAAAACAATGGCTCAGGGTTTGAAATGGGGATCACAGACTGACAACCTAGAGAGGTCATTGATGTTATCCAACTCAAGTTTTTATTCTGTGACATGCACAAAAGAGAAGTCTTGCATAAGATCCTATGATAAGTTTAACAGAGACATTCATATGTGTAATAAATACTTCCTGAGCTGCTGCTATATGCTGGACATTAGTCTGGGCACCAGAATTGGGTCAATGAACAGAACAGTCAAGACTCCTTTCATTTTTAGAGTTCACATTCTAAATTGGGGAAACTGAAGTCGTACGTGCTTTGGAATTATGGACTCTCAGTATTGGAAGGAATCTGGAATGTCATAGAATTGGATCCCAGCATCAATTTCCCAGCAGCTACTGAGACCAGGAGTAACAAGGGGCTGAGCGAAACTCCAAACCAACTGGAAAGCCAATTTCACTGGTGGACAGTCAGCTAATTAATTAACTAGTTAGAAAACTCAACCACTTCTACCCACTAACTCTATTTTCTTAGGATCACAGAGAATTACTTCTCTTTCTCCCTTTCAACACAGTTGTCCAATCTTTACTATTAAAGGTAGATAAGACAATGTCTCTCCAATGTACAAAACACTCCAGTGACGTATCGCTGAGTAAACACCTTGGGCATTTCAAGAGCTCACAAGGTCTAAGCTGATCTTCTCTTTCTCCCCTCTTATCACTATCCCCATTACCTGCCTGCTTCATCTCCTACTCTCCCCTGCACTAACCTTCTCACCAGCACTCAACTCCTGTGTCCCAGCACTCAACCACCAAAAGTCTTTGTGCTTGTTGGCACCTCTCTGCAGAACACCCTTATCGCATGGCCCCCACCTCCTCCTGATCTTTGCTCACTTGTTACCTACCATGGTCAGTCTTTCTCAAACTAAAACCCAACAATCTTCCGCAGCCCTTTTCTTTTCTTTTTTTTTTCTCCTTACTGCTCATTACCTTCTACCATAATATATGCTTTTGCTTATTTTCTATTGTTTGTACCCTCCACTACCACATCCATCAATATAAGGTTCACACAGACAAGGATACGGCTATTTTATTAATTGCTGCATCTCCAATACTCAGAACAGTGTGCCTGGTGCAGGTAGAATGCAATAAATATTTAATGAATGAATGGAGTTAATTCTCCTTCCCTTTTAAGATAGTGGTCAACTCTCAGGTTCCCTCTGAGCCTGATTTTCTTCAGGCTAAGTTATCCAAGGGCCATAATTCTTAGCAATTGTATCACCAAGAGAGTGAATCCCTTAAATTCCTGGAGATTTCAATAGCTGCCAGTTTGTCAATAACTGTGTTTCCTGCCTCAAGGCCTTCACACAGGTTTTCAGTTAAGACACACTTGTAATCCTTTCTCCTTTAATTGGTTAACTCTTATCAGCATTTCTTATTCTTCCCATGCAGTAAATAAAACAGATAGGTAGGGTGCTTTCTAAGTATGCTACCTATGGCCAGATAGGTAAGTTCAAATCGGGGTGGGGTGGGGAATAACAGGAAGAGCATGTTAGTCTTGGGTCCCGGACAACTTCACCAATAATAGAGCTAACACTGTATTAATTTCACACCAGTACCCTGCAGTTATTTCTCAGTTGCCCAAGAGCTCATAGAATTGAAGAGTGTGATGAATTTGAGCTCTCAAAGAAACATAGCATTCAGTGGCCCAGAAACCTAAGAAAAGACAGAAGGAGTACATAAGACAATTCAAGTAGCATGTGCAAAACAATGACTTTTGATGTGAGTGTAATATCTGTCTTTACTACTCAAAACTCACAAAGTATTTTCTCATTAAAATAATGTCTTTTAAGGTCAAGGCTCATCCCAGTAGTCAGAGCTTCAGTAAATATTGTGTGACTTATTGAATTATTGCTCCCAATCATTCACTATGTTATAGAATTATTGTACACTTTTTCCTTGCCTTGGCTTCATGTGTGGGTGAAGCTGACTTCTTTGCCCTTGACTTTGGACTTAATCATGTGACCTGCCTTGTGCAACAGGATGTTAGCAGATGTAATGCAGGCAGTAGCTTGAAATATGTGTATATGGTTGCCATTGCCAAGAGAAAAAAAAAAAAAAAAAAAAACATGTCCTAGGAAAACTTTGCCTACAACCCTGGGCTCAAAAATGAGACATGTGGACCTAGATTTGACCTGCAGCCTGGGTCCAGCTAACACCAGTATATAAACTTATTTACATACTCATGGGCAAGAAAAAATAAATATTTATTGTTGTGAGGTTTTATATAGTATTGTTTACTATGCTATTGTGGCAATTGCTAAGTGATTTATAAAATTTGGTGGCATTATAGACTGAATTATGTCCCTCTCAAATTCCTATGTTGAAGCTCTAACCCCCAATATGACCTTATTTGAAGACAGGACCTGAAGGGAGGTTAACAAGTTAAAGGAGGTCATAATGTAGGACACTAATCTAATAACACTGGTATCATATGAGAAGAGGAAGAAATATGAGAGAGCATGTGCTCACTTGTGGTGCACATAGAGAGAAGGAACCAGTTGAAAATACAGTGAAAAGGCAGCCATCTGCAAGCTAGGAAAAGAGTTCTCACCACACACCAAACCTGATGGCACCTTGATTTTACACTTCCAGCTTCCAGAACTGTGAGAAAATAAACTTGTGTTGGTGAGAGAGTCAAGCAACTGTTAACAAGGGATAGCAGAGAATGAACTATCTTTGCTACCACAGCTTGTTACTCCTTTCTTTGAGATTTTGGGCCCTAGGTCAACTGGGTGAAATTTATTAGTCTCAATTTGGGGCCCTAGGTCAACTTAGCTAAATTTATTTGTTTCTTTTGACTAATTCATCTTGGGTAACTATCATCTACTAAAGGTTCTTTGTCTTTCTTCCATCTTCTTGCCATTGAAACTGGATAACATATACTTTAGATAAACTAATTGTGGTTTATTCATATAATGAATATTTATAATACATTACATAATGTAATATATTATAGAAGCAGATATTAGAAGGTATCTTCAAAAAGTTCATGGAAATATATATTAAGAAAAAACTATGCACAGATTTCAAAGATTTTTAAATAAAAAAGCTACCATTTTAATTCCATTTTTCTATAAAGTTTTAAAATAACCTTGTGTGTAGCAACTTTAGATAAATCTCACACATGATGTTGAGTGCAAAATAAAGCAAGTTACAAAGGAAATACGTCAGATGATACAGTTAGCTTGTTTTGAGTTTAAAGCATGCTTAAAGACACTATACATAATATGTCATATATAGATATATATATAGTAAAACTAGAGTCACATATAAGGATAATAAACATTACATTTAAATGAGTGATTAGTGGTAGGTGTTTGTTCCAGCAGTTAAGACATCGGATTTGGATGCCTATACTTCATACTGAAATTCCTGGGTAAATATCCTTGAAGACAGCGGGTTATGGTTCAAGTGGTTAAGTCCTTGCAACTCATATTGGAGACCTGGATTGGGTTCCTAGTTCCTGGTTCCTGGCTTCAGCCTACTCCTAGTCCTGCCCAGGTCATTGTTGGCACTTATCTGGGGAGTTAGTCAGTGGACAGGATTTCTCTCTCTCTCTTTTTCCCCCAACCAATAAATAAATGGATAAATAAATAAAATAAATTTAAGAGAGTGATTAGCTTTGTGAGAGATGGGAAGGAAATGTTGTGAAAGGTATACAGGGGATTTATTTCAACATTTGATTTCTGAAGGTTTCATTTTCCAAGCTGGGAAGTTGGTATATACGGATGTTCACTCTTTTCATAGTTAACACAAATAAACATAGATATGGGTTTTTTTAAGTTAAGGCAACCACTAAAAAACAATAATGCATACCTTGTAAACTATCAAAGAGAATCTTTTCTACTTGACATAAAGTAAAAAAAAAAAATTATACTAAGTGCACCATGTTAAAAATTATGACAGTAATAAATGCTTATACGATTTTGAAATAACTGTAAATTTATCACAAGTCACCAACCAGAAGACCAAGACAATTAAGTTGCATTTTTAAAGCATTCAGCAATGTTTTCCTCACAAAAGAATCTCTTAGAACAAAGGAATTCAGAATGTATAAAAATAAAGGCAGCAAAAGATATACAAGAAAAACATGAGGGGGGTCTTCAGAAATTAATGGGAAATGAATATTATAAAAAACTGTGTGAGACTGGCATTGTAGCATAGCGGGTAAAGCCACCACCCCTGACGCCTGCATCACATATGAGCAATAGTTTATGTCTCAGGGGCTCTAATTCTGATCCTGCTCCCTGCTAAGGGCCTTGGAAAAGCAGTGGAAGATGAATCAACTATTTGGGCCCTGCCATCCATGTGGGAGACCAGAAGAAGCTCCTGGCTCCTGGCTTTGGCCTGGCCCAGCTCTGACCATTGCAGCCCTTTGGGAAGTAAACCAGCAGATGGAAGGTCTCTCCCTCTCCCCCTCCCCCTCCCCTCCCTCTCCCCTATTTTTGAAATGTTAAACTAAATAAAATAAATTTAAAATCATTTTTAAAAAATAGATGCTAGTCAAAATACAAATAACATTCTTCTCAGATATAGAAAAACAGAAGCTAAAATTCATATGGAAACACAAGAGACCTCAAATAACTAAAGCAATTTTACACAACAAAAACAAAGTCAGAGGCATCA